CCACTCGTCTCTGTTTAATGTTAGTCTTTTCCTCATGCTCTTCCTCCCTGCTCTATTCTTAGTTGCTCTCCTTATATCAAAGAAGACATTTGGCATTTGTTTTTTAAGGATTGGCTAGCTTCACTTAGCATAATCTGCTCTATCAGATTAGTACTTTAACAAATAAAAATTTTTAGTGCAAAAAGTTTGGGATTTTGTATCACTCTGTATAATGATAAAACCTATCATATTACTTGTTAACTTCCAATGTGTTTGTATTCCTTTGTACAGGTAGATAAAATTTTACTAATAACAGAAGACTTAAAAAATATTGGAAATACTTTTTTCAAATCCCAGAACTGGGAGATGGCCATGAAAAAATATGCAAAGGTTTTAAGGTAATTAAACATTTTAAATAAATTACTGTTAAGATCTTGTAAATTGAATTATAAATTGAAATTCCAAATTCCTCATTGTATTTTGGCAAATTCCCTGTGGAATAAACAGCTGTGTTTGAAATAGTTGCATTTCTTTTGTTGCTGCAGCTTATTTTGAAAAATTTCAAAATACAGAAGAGTTGAGGTGTAGATAATATTGTATTTTGCTATTATATAACATCGTGAAGGTGTAAATCAGTTTGACCAGAGTTTGTTCACTTTGTACCAGTGGAATGGATGTGTCTGTTCTAGGAGACCCTTTTCCCCATGAGGTGATACTGAGATTATATGGAAACCCAGAACCCAACAACCTTTCACACAGTAGTTTTAGTGTCATTAAAGATCCTTACCCTTACTTATTACACTAATTGTTGGAGAACTGTGATATTCTACAGTTGTTAGCTGGCATTCTGTGTAAGAAACCCCTGCCCTYCATTTGGTAATGTTGTAGACCTGTGGTTTTTTCATTTTGGTGTATTAATGTAGCAATACTGTGATTCTTTTTGGTACTCAAAAGAGTTTTAATATTGTTTAGTGGAAGCCCATTTCATTTTGACTTGCTGTTTTTTTTTTTTCAGTGATGGAGATTAAAGTCAGAGCCTCACAAATGCTAGGCAAGAGCTCTACCACTGAGTTATATCACCAGCCTCATTTTGACAATCTATGATCACTTGCTTGCTTTCTGACACAAGATTTGTTTCAGAGTCATCTTATAATCAATCACCTGGCTTTTGTTTCTGGTATCAGCACTTTCTCTAAGGAGCTCTGATTAATTTCAAAGAAAGAAAAGTTTAGCAGCTCAATTCTAGGGGCTTGGTATGCTCAGTTTCTTGGTCTTTTTCAGTAAACAATTAAAAATGAACACTACATGGTTGTTCTTCACCTTTTGCCAGTCAGTACCCTTCTGGTACCTTCCTGGTTCCAAATACAATTACATTGGAAAGTACCTAATGGGACCTGATTTTAACTTAGAGGTGTGTTACTACTACTGCACAATTGATTTGGGAAATTTTTTTTTTTTTTTTTAAACTGGGGGTTGAACACAAGGGTGCTATACCACTGAGCTACATCCCCAGCATTTTTATTTTTTATTTTCAAACAAGCATTGCTAAGTTGCTTAGGGCTTTGATAAGTTGCTGAGCTGTATCTTGAACTTGGTATCCTTCTGCCTCAGCCTCTTGAGTTGCTGGAATTAACAGGTGTGTGCCACCACACTTGGCTCCTGGGAATTGTTTGTTCTTTTTGAACACTTTGGGAAAAAATGTTTTAGGAAATAAAAATACTTCATAAAGAAAAYGACCTTCAAAAGAAAAATAATGGGTATGAGAGTAGAGCTCAGTGGTAAACTGTGTGTTTATTAGGGTGCTCGAGGCCCTGGCTCTGGCCCGCAACAAAAATAAAAATAAAAAAATGTTTAATAAGAAGATTGTGAAGATTGGATATTAAATTAGTATCTGCTTTTTAAAATAATATTTACTTTTTAGTTTTAGATGGGCACAATATCTTTATTTTTATGTGGTGCTGAGGATCGAACCTGGTGCCTCACACATGGTAGGCGAGTGGTCTAACTCTGAGCCACAACCCCAGCCCTAGTATCTGCTTTTTATATCAGAAATGATGTAACATTTTTTAGTATTTTTGAAGTAGTAGAGTAAGTCTTGTTTGTGTGGAATTACATATTGCTTTTATTAATTTTTTTCCAGATATGTGGATAGTTCAAAGGCTGTTATTGAGAAAGCAGATGGATCTAGGCTGCAGTCTATAGCCTTAAGCTGTGTGCTGAATATTGGTGCTTGTAAACTGAAGATGTCAAATTGGCAGGGAGCAGTTGACAGTTGTTTAGAGGTAACTCTGTGTAATATTGAACTTTTTGAAGGAGAGGGATTTTGGCGTACCAACTTGAACAAAACCACTTTTTACATATCTGAATATGTCTTATTGCATATTGTCTCTAAATATTTTGGACCTTCAGAACTTCCTTTCAATCCATTCATTTTGCTTTTTTTAAATAAATTTAATTAAAACAATTTTTTTAGTTGTAGATGGACACAATACCTTTATTTTATTTATTTGTATGTGGTGCTGAGGATCGAACCCAGTGCTTCACGTGTGCTAGATAAGCACCCTACCACTGAGCCACAGGCCTAGCCCCTCATTTTGCTTTTTAACCCCGTGTACTTAATATCTTTGAAAGACTTTCCTATTTTTCTCTTAAAGCATTTGTCAGTTCATGTATTCATTTAAGAGCACCTATTATATGCTAAGCATTGGAACACAAAGTTAGGAATGACTAGGTATGTGGTTGTGGAGTTAGGCATGCCACACCCCCAGTGCCTTTACCATTGAACTCTACCCCCAGTCCCAGCATGGTTTTATTTATTTATTTATTTTWAAAAAATTTTTAGTTGTAGTTAGACACAGTGCCCCTATTTATTTATTTTTGTGGTGCTGAGGATCAAACCCAGYGCCTTGCACATGCTTGTCCAGCTCTGCACCGCTGAGCCACAACTCCAGCCCCACCCAGCATGGTTTTTCAAATTAGACCTCTGTCATTCAGCTAATTTTGTGATCTTGTATAGATTCCTAATTTTTATAGAATCTGAATTTTGTTTTCTATAAATTGAAAATAATACCTACCTGATGGGATGGTTGTAAAAGATCATAAAGCAAGTTTTAAGTACTTAGCACTGTGCTTGTACCCAGTGAATTTAGTTTGTTTTTAATTACAAGATTCATATTTCCAAGAAACTTAATAGATTTAGTTTAGGAGGGGGCCAGTTTCTATTTAGGGTCATCACACCTTGTATGGGAGAATGGATACTATTTGGAACACACAGAAATGTCATTTGTCTTTATGAGGGCTATCTAGTTACATTAACTGATAAAGCTAGAAAGCATTACCTTTCTCAAAATAGATCGATTATGACTCTCTTTCCTGTTATATAGTTGTTTGAAAGTATTTCCAAACTAAATGTTTTGATTTTTGCCCACTAAGCTATAGATTAGCTATAGAACTGAAATGAGATTCTGTACTAGGGGTGTAGTTAAGTTGTAGAACCTTGCGTAGCATTCATTCATGAGGTCCTGGATTGAATCCCAACACTGCTACATTAAAAAAAAAAAAAAAATCTGCTTAGAATAGGTGAATAGAGGATAAGAAAAGATATTTGCAGTTTTGGGATCAAATCTAAGACTCTTACTCATGTAAGGCAAGTGTTCTAGCAGTGTATACCCCTAGTCCTAGAATATATTTAGAAGGGAACATACAACAGAGGAAAAATCTTCAAAAAKAAAAAATTGATCTTTACTCTGGGTCTCCATAACTTGTGAAGCAGATGTTTCCTTTTCAGTAAATCTGTGATTATTGGCTTTTAAAATATATAAATAGAATGTTAATTTAAAAATGCTTATTTTAGTGAAAAGATCTTTATAAAGTTACTCAGGTTCCCACRAAATTTAGATTTCAATTAAAAACATGTATAGTTGGCCCTCTGTATCCATGGATTCCATATTCTAAGATTCATCCAGCCTCAGATTGAAGATTTCTTTTGTACTAAACATGTGAAGACTTAAATATATGGGAGGAAAGGTATAGGTTATTATATGCAAATACTGAACCATTTATATTAAAAATTTAAATCTCCAGATTTAATTTGCAGGGGGTGAGTTGAGCTGTCCTGGAACTATTCCAGAGACACTAAGGGACAACTTGCAAACTTTCATTTACAGTGTTTTTTTTTTTATAAATACATTAGTTAGGACTGAGTCTGGAGAGAGAGAGAAACCACAGTGCCGAGGAGCATGTTAAAGATATGGACAAGAAACACCTTCCTCCTCCATATAGTGCCCTCTGCTGATAAATTGTCACACTATGCTAACTGGCAAAAGAGAGCTGTTCATAGTCTTSAGCTGAAGTGGATTTGAAGGTGTCAGGCAATAAATGAATCTGAAAAATGTATTTATTTAGATAGTTATAATTTTTTAATTTTTGTAGGCTCTTGAAATGGACCCATCAAATACTAAAGCACTGTATCGAAGAGCTCAAGGATGGCAAGGATTAAAAGAATACGATCAGGCACTGGTAAATTTTGTTTCAAATGTTTTACAATAAACAGTCACCTTTGTAAATTAGATCTTAATTTTTCACAACTTTTTTTTTTTTCCAATTAAAGGCTGATCTTAAGAAAGCTCAGGAGATAGCACCAGAAGATAAAGGTAGGTTGGCTGTTTTTGTAGTCAAAGTTCATTTTGCACTTTAAAATTATGCTCATGAACTGTTGTACTCTTAACTTTGGCAGATATCAGGCATTTGTTCAGTGGGTCTTATAGAATGCCTGTTACTGGGCCATATGTATATCAGTGAATAAGACAAGGTCCTCCCCTGATAGAGCTTGKTTTCATTCCTCTCAAGAATGCACTAGTTTTTCACAGTACACTTAATATGGTTTATTCTGCCTTATCATTTGAGATCCTGTTTTTGTTACTATGACACTCTTTGAAAGGTCAATACTCAGGTATAGTATTCATTGTAAATCTAATTTTTGGGACCATTCCTTAAGTGGAACATCGTGGCCAGTAATCTAGTGTTCTAGATACTGGATATGTTTTGGAAAAGCTATGACAAATAAATTTATTTCTTTAAAATAAGCCAAAAGTGAATAGCAACACCAGATCTAAATATTTATCTCTTTGGTCCCTTGTTGCTAAAATAAAACAAGGTAGTGAGATGGAGAAACAAGTATTGATGTGATTGAGTTCTCTCAGTTGGCAGTCTTCTGAAATTATGCTTCAGGGTTGTTGTGAACTCTGCTTTCTTGGAGTAGAGTTTTCTGTTAATAGGGTTGTTATTTTATCCAGAAGAAAAGTTTTGTCAATGGGGAGGAGGAGTTGTGATATTATAATCGTTTGTTGGTCATTCCTAATCTTTTTGTTTTGAGAAATAACTCATTGCCTATTTTTTTGCAGCCATCCAGGCAGAATTGCTGAAAGTCAAACAGAAGATAAAGGCAGAGAAAGATAAAGAGAAGGCAGTATATGCAAAAATGTTTGCTTAGAAAGGATTCAATTTGCTTAAATATTATGCATTTATTGTATAAAGGCAATAAGACAATGTAAGAGTTATTGTGTCTATATGTGATTGCTAATGTGATTCCTTTGACATTTCAGTTCTTCATTGTTTACACTTTAAAATACTGATACAGGTTCCCTGTTAATAAAAAGTGGCAAAAAATACAGTGACGTTGATTTAAAAATTCTATCTGTACTTTCATAAAGAATGGTGTGCAGTTTGCTTTTTTTTTTTAGTATTTATATTTTAGTTATAGGTGGATACAATCTTTATTTTAYTTTTATGTTGTATTGAGGATCGAATCCAGTGCCTCACACATGGTAGACAAGCATTGTACCTCCAAGCCACAACTCCAGACCTCCAGTTTGCTTTCAGACTCCTTAAGTTATATCTTGTTGAATGAACTGATGAACACTTATTTGTATATTGTATCCCTCAGTCCTTATACATTATGTGGTAAGTTTGTGCTGGTGTTTTATGCTTAAAGATGACACATAGGATTTGGCAGTTTTTCTGTGAAGGGCCAGATAGTAAAATTTTTACAGTCACCATCTAGTCTGTCACAATTACTCAGTTCTGTAGTTATAACTCAAGACAGTGTATAACCGATGGGCTTGGCTGGTTCAGTAAAACTTTATTCATAGTAAGTGCTGAGTTAGATGCTAATCCCTGGTCTAGAATGTATATTCATTTTTATATTTGAAGACTTAAATTTGGTAAATCAACTGTATAGTAAAGCCCAATAAGGCATTTTGCTGTTGGTGCTGAAATCTTGAACAATCAGAGGTAAGTAAATGCTACATAATTTTTAGTTTTATTGTAAGAGGAAATGTTTCATAATTTTTATGGGAYAATTTTACATAGATATAGTATAAAACATTTATTTCACCAATAGTTATTTTGTGAAGGATACTTGTTAACTTCTGAATATTTTAATGTTAGTTTGCTATACATTTACATTTTAAATGTAAATGTTCCTGAAATGAAATAAATTGCAGTTTACATTCCATTATAAGCTGGTCCTCCTCCACCTTCGGGCACCACCCAGTTAATATTCTGACTTGGATCTTTAATATCACATGTTTTACAGTGCACACAGTTCTGAGCATTTATCTGTAACCGAAATCCATCACCTTGTTCCAAAGGTACAAATTCATAAACTCCTGAAAGTAAAAATGAATAATGTTAATGGAGTGGTACTAGGGATTAAACCTTGGGCCTTGCATATGCTTGACGAGCACTCTCTAAGCGGTGTATCCATAGCACTTTAATTTTTTTTTTTTTTTTAAATTTTGACATGGTTTTGCTAAGTTGTCTAGACTGGTTTTGAACTTGTGATCTTTCCTCAGCCTCCTGAGTAGCTAGTATAACAGGGGTATGTCACCATGCCCTGATTAACAGTAGAATTAAAAATCTTCACCTACAGAAACCTTAGAAGTTGTTTTCTGAATGCTAGAGAATGTCATTATATAATGACAATCTTGGTGTGTGCTGCGGGCTGCTGTTAGTTTATAAATGTATATAATAAAAAAAGTAGAGCAGTACTGACTAGGTGAGTCTTAACAAGGATCTTTGGTACTTRGCCATCTTTGAGATACACAAAGAAACACACACACACACCCATGCTGTAGCTAATAAAAGAAATCCACGTCTTGTCCTCAGGGCGTTTATAACCCCACAGTGATAACCTGGTTTCTTTAAAAAAAAAAAAAAAAAGTCTACAAAAGGTCCTTGCATTCAAAGGGCTTGAGAATGTATTTATTCTCACATATCTGTATACTGTTGGTTCTAAAATAGCATTTGAGACCTGGTTTGGATTAATCTTAGCTGAAAGCAGTAAGAAGATATCATATTCATGGTGAATTTAAAGTTTAGGACCATTCCTAAACTCAGTATGGCCGTAACCTAGTCTAGCATGTGTATGCACATAGGAGCTGCCATGACAAAAGTAACTTTTTAATAACTGTTCTTTGTTACAAGAACAGAGGTGGTATTTTGTGTTCCATAATCCTTATCTTGGTCTGACATTTCTGGAGAAATGTCATCTGAATTAGGTTTAACCAAAATTCCCTATTATTTTATTATTGTTAACTATTAATGCTAATTGCAAACTCATTTAGGTATGAATTTCCTAAAAAGAGCTGAGTGTAGTGGTCATAACAACAATCTCCAAGCAATGGAAGTAAATAATTCCTAAATGGAATAATTTCTAAAATATTTGAAGCAGATTTAGGAATGGAAGGAAATTATTACCTGCAGGGCAGAATCGCTGCTCAGGCCCATCATATATTGATAGATTTCTGTTTACAGGTATGCTGTCGTCCTTTAAAGTTAAATGTGCTGGCTGGTCATGTTCATGATTAGTACCACTTAAAGCCACAGATGACAAGAGATCAAAACTGATCTGTCCATCAGGTTTTGGATATTCAATAGGTGTGCAATCTTTGGCTGGCTTAAGCTGATCAGAGTCAGAACCTTCAACAATTTTCAGAAAAATATTTTACATAACAACAGTTTTCAAGTATATGTATGTTTTTTTGATGCTGGGGATTGAACCCAGGCTTCTGTGTATGCTAAGCACACCCTCTACCACTGAGCTTTATCTCCAACCCTCCCTATGTTTCTACCTCTTCATCAGTGCCTTGTAAAAGATAGGCAAGTGTTCTTAACACTGAACTGCACCCCTTCCCACCCTCAAGTACTTTCTTAACATTATAAAAACCTGAAAATAACGCCAAAGAAATACGGCTTTAATCCTCTAGTTACAGATCTTTGAAAGACAGCAATTATAATTTCTCTAAGCAAGCAAGCTTATAAAACATGAAAAGATAAGGTCTTTTTCTCCATTAATTAATAGATCCCATTTATAAGCTTTTAAAGATTATAACATTGACATTTTAAAATGTTTGAATTACCTTTATGTTTTAGGGTCCATGGTTCCATTCCTCTCAATATCCAGTAAAATATTCCAGTGTAAATCATCCCTCCATATAAACCCAATGCTCCATGGCAGGAAGGTCTTATATTTCTAACAGAATAYAGCTCTTTCCACACCCAAGATTTCTTCAAATTGTCCTCATACTCGGGTACATGGAGCCCTTTCATGAAAAACATGAAATGTTAACTGTAAAACAGCCTTAAGCTGCATAAAATACTCWATTGTTAAGGTATTTTGATAATGAAATATCTGATTAGTAAGTCATAAGTAATTTTTAAATGTTGGAATCTTCCAGAAAGATAATAGTTTGATGTACATGTTTGTTGACAGTAAACATTTGCTTTTTATTATTGTTTGTGGGTGCTGGGGATCAAATCCAGGTCTTTGCTTATGACAGGCAAGTACTCTACAATTGAGCTACAGTCCCAACCCTGAATACTTAACACTGGTAGTAAAGAAAATTAGTTTGAAAATTCAGCAAAACTGAGAAGAAAGCTTAAAAAGTTCATGCTACCAGTAAGTGAAAATTTGTATAGTTCATCACAGAAAATACCAACTGTGTCTGGATTGAAATATTTCCATGTGAAAATGTATTTTGAAGTCCTAAACTCCAAAATTTAAGACTTTCACTTTATAATAGGGTGGTTCCAGATGTAATTAAGGCTTCCTGGAGTAGAATGGGTCCCTAATTCAATATGACCAGTGTTCTTTTAAAAAGATGGAGACAGAGACTAAATTGCCAGAAGCCAAGGAATGTTTAAGGCTACCAGAAATTGGGGAGGCAAGATAAGATTCCTCTACAGACACTTCAGAGAGGCAATATTCCTGTTAATCCTTGATTTTGTGCTTCTAGCTTACAGAACTTGGAAAGAATAAATTGTTTTAAGTTACCTAGTTTAGGATACTTTGCTATGGTAGCTCTAGGAAATTGTAATACCTAAAATATGGTACACTACCTTTATGATTTAAGAAGACAATTGGTTCTTCTCATTGTCTTTCATGAACTCCACAGTGACTATGCTTTTTTCAGTTATTGTTTCCTGCCCTCGCTTCACTCCCTTTTCTCACAGGCTTTATTCCTTGCCTTTTGTGATACACTGGCTCTAGTACTATGTGTTGGTATTATGGGTATATGATACAGTTGAAGTATGGCTGGTGGTCCAATAAGGAACAATACTTGACAAAAACATTAGGAAAAATTTCTACCCAACCATTCCATTTCTGACTTAACTTTTCTGTGTTGTACCTCATCCCCTTCCACTCCCATATGCAAGGCCTCCATTCCTACAAAGACATTTGAAGGCATAACCAAGCTGCATAGTTTTTAATTTTCTACAGTGTACATGCTAGGTAATTACTCTACCACTGAGCTGTAACCTCCCATCCCCCAAGTTGTGTAATTCTAACTCGTGGAACATTTGTTATCTGTGATTTTAAGGAATAAAGCTATTATCAAATTATCTWTTCAGTTACTGTACTGTGTGCCAGGTCTTTAGGATTCAAAATGAACAAAGTCCTTGCTCTCTTGGAGTTTTCATCCAAGTGGAAAGTGTAAAAAGTATAAATAAGTAAATGATATAGTATGCCAAAAGGTGGGAAATGCTGAAGAAAAGTGTTGGGGGTGGGGATGGGAGTGCTACATATTGCAGATTAACTGTGTGGGCAAGAGAGGATCACTAGAGTGTTTGAACAAAGGTAAAGGATGAATGAGGGAGCAAGTTATGAGCAAAAACCTTAAGATAAGAGCAAGCATGGCATGTTTCAGGAATTACAAAGAGGCCCATGTGGCTGGAATGGAGAGTGATAAAAGGTGAAGTTAGAGGGGCAGGGTAACTTTGGTTTTGAGAAAAACAGAATCCCTTGAGGGTCTATTTAGATAAAGGGTTTACTGAGGTGTGAGTGCTGGCTGTTCTTCTCTACTACATTAGAAGGGTCATTTATATGCCTGTGCTTGCAGTGTTTGCTAAGGAATGCACGCTGGTATTTGTGCGTTCTTACTGTGTGCCTTACATGGATGCAGTGTAAATGCAGTATTGTCAAATCTGGAATAGATTCTGGGGACAACACTGGTACTATTTTTTTTTTTTTTTGCTACATAGGAAACTAAGCCCAGAGGCACTCTACCATTGAGTGCATCCTCACTTTTTATTTTTATTTTGAGACAAGGCTTGCTAAATTGTGGAGGATCAGCCTCTAGAGTTGCTGGGATTACAGGCATATACCACC